TCTGGTTTATGGGCATCGGCATCCTCTAAAGCAGGATTTCGTGTTTTATCCTTATCACTTAATCTCCACTTGTTCCAGCAGTATCCGAAAACGAGAAAAGCAAAGAGTTAGTTAACTTATGCCTTTTGTTGTTTGTCTTTGCAGGCAATTCTCTTTGGGCACTTACGGTAAAAAGGCTCAAGGCTAGTGTGAAGTATTTTAAAGCAAGTTCCTCTTTAGCCTTGGTAGTTATTGAGGTGGCCTTCTTTTCATAGGCACACACTGGCACGCGTAGTGTGTGTTCGGCATGTAGTTTGATGTTGCAGCTATACGACCAATATCCATCGAGGATTATTTCAGTTTTAATTAAAATATATTACAGTCTGATGTTCATCGTAATTCTTGGATAACGGACAAATTTGATTTTATGTTATTTCAAAGTTCAAGCATGGTGAATATACGTGACATGATTCACAATGAGGCTGTTGCAGGTTTTTGTTACATGTGTAAGTTAAACGTGTTCTTTGACGAGGTTTCCAAAACCGTGAAATTTTGTTTGTAAAATTTATTATGGCGTAGTCACATGGTTCATTCGTGGCGAATTTGGGCTAAGACATGGCCACAGGTCAAACCCGTTGACCGCAGGCCTTGAACCGCCACGTTGTTTTACCCGGACATGTTTAGATTCACAAAATATTAATTTTGTGAACCATCGGTTCGGGTTCAAAGTCGGCCTGGAACCAGCCCTGAGGCCCGCCTTATTTATTAATTATTTTTTCTTGCAAAATTTCATTTTTCTTAAAAAAAAAAAACTGTTCCAGTCTCGCGTCCCGCTGGACCAGGCGTTGGATCAAATCTGGACTGTTGGATCTTTTTGACCATTGGAGATCCAACGGTCATGAAACCATATTCTCTAACGGTAAGATTTTTTATACTTGGATCGTTGAGATCCAATGGTCAAAATTTATTTGAAATGTTTGAATCGCCGCGTCGACCTGAAATTGGCAGATTAGGAAAAAAACATGTGTGAAAAAATTCTATAAGTAGGTGTCTCTCAATATATTGATGGTGTTAATGGACGAGCACCAAAGCGTAAAAATGCGGCATCTACGAGTGGTCAACCTTCACTACCGACGCTGAAGATATATGATGAAGATGAAGGTTTCGAGGTCCGAGCACATCGAGAGTCAAGAGCTGAGACAACACGGACGAGCTACTTGGGACGCAAGAATGGTCGGCGTGACTTGAGGGGCAAGGGTCGAGAAGCTTCTAGATGAACCGTGGCTACTTCTTAGAGATGCCGAAATATTCTAGAAGACTAATAAATAGATTAATTATATCTTTAATTAGTTAATTAGTCTTTAGATTATTTAGTAAATTATTCTTAGCCGTGTTAGTACCTAGTAGTTTGGTATTTATTAATTAATTAGTAGTTAGTTTGTTAGGTGTTGCGTGGTTAGGATTCATACTTGATGATAAGTATATATTTAATTAGTTAGTGATGGTCAATATATTGATTAGCCGTAGGTTTTTCAATTGTTAGGATAGTTAATATTGTTAGATTAATATTTAGTGTTAGCCGTGGGTTATATTAGGTGTTTTATTACTTATTAGTTTAGGAAGTTTAGTTATTTATGTTATCTTATGAGTTTATTATTAGTGTTAGGAGTTTTATTATTTAGGAAGTCTTTAGGATATTAGATATTTATTAGTTGCCTAGAATTAGTATTTGATTATTATTAGGACTAGTATAGGCTTAGTCTTTACTTTACTATAAATAACTCTATGTACTCATTCAATTTTTATAATGTTTTGAATTTGAATTAATGACAAATTCGACCATTGGTCACCAATATCTTGTGTTAGAATTCTTTTAGAGTTTTGGCTTGTGTCGAAAAGGACGTTTTACCGCATAGTTCATCATAAGTTCGAGTTTGGCAATGATTAACGTCCGAGCTATCTCAAAAACGTGAGAAGACAAGGAGAAATCTGAATCATCCACAACCTTTCACAACCTATCACCGAGAAGGAAGCCGTGTCAAGCAACTTTCGAAGCAAACATAAAGAACCTTTTTTTTTGCGAAAATGACCTTTTTGTAACATTTTTGCGAACATATGAGACAAAAATAAAAAAAGCAATTCAAAGAAGATGAAAAAGTTAAAGCAGTGAAACATACAAGATTAAAATTGTAATTTACTTTTATATACATATATTCATTCATGAATTAATCAATTTTATAACTATACGAATACAAAATATAATATTATTTTCTTAGAAAAGAGAAAATGGACTGGTTTGACCTACTTGCCCCACCCCCAACCGACCACTTTGTTACCTTAAATTTACCGTCCAAATCTCCGGGTCATTTCTTCAATTTTACCCCCAAATGTCCAACACTCTATACAAAATTTAGAAAATATATAAGTCCAGCAAGTTGTTTTTCTACAGATACATAATTTATAGTTAATAATTTAAAAATAAAAAAGCAACATATGACTAATAATTAAAAAAATAAGAAAATATTATATTATGCCTCGTAGTTATTTTGTCCCATTTATGATTAAAATAATTTATATAAATACTGGATTTTTATATTTTGCATTATAGTTTATATAAAATCTATAAATTGTGATTTTCACCATGATTATTGTGTTGGGATTAAATATAATGTATGTTTTCTTCCAAGTACCGCGTTTGATGGGAAGACTTCAAACAGTTGACCTGACTGAATGTGAATGAGACGAATTTATGCCGAAAAGAAGAAAGTGAATGAGACAAATTACAATCCTCTAGACTTCTCTCTACTAATTTTTCTTTTCTAGATAAATTTGTAATGATAAGGAGTTAATAATACCAGCACATACATTAATTTATGTATAGATGAGAATGGATAATTTATTTTTAAAAAAAAAACTAAAGGAAAATTTTGGGTTGCAAACCATGTTGTTTTTTTTTTATTTTTTTATTTTTATTTTATTTTTATTTTTTTCCAAAGTACAAGCTAAGATGATACCAATTGAAGTTGAATTATCAGGCAAGTGATATTATGATAATAATATAATTGTTTTGGTTTATGGACTAATGAAGCATCTTGGAATACAAATAAAATATAAAATGTTTCTTTCTTATATTCCAACACTAGTAATCACTTGTGCGATGCACGGAAAAAAATTATAATCTATACGCTTTTTAGAAAGCACTTTTTTATATAAATTGTGTAATAATGCAATGATCGATCACTAGTGTGTAGCCCGTGCTATGCACGGGTAAATAATATTAATATTAATTATAAATTAAAGATGAGGACAAATAATATTAACTATAATTATAAATTAAAGATGTGAGCAATGTTCTAAATATTGTACCGTACCGACCGGAATTACCGGTGGTCCAAACGGTATTACCTGATACCGGTGGTCCGACCGGTACAATTACATTCAAGATATCGTTTTGGCCAAAATACCCGCTTATACCGGTTTCATATCGCAAAATATCGGTTTTACCGGCAAATACCGGTCAAAATACTGGTATATGCCAATTATTTTAAAAAAAATATATTTTTTAATATATTTTCATTAATCTATTTATATAAATTGAAAGTTCTACACTTAATTTCAATATGTTTACATTGTTATTAAATGTTAATTAATTTTATTAATTAAAGTTAGTTTTGTACATTATTTATATTATAATAACAAATTAATTTAATGTTTATTGAAATCGGTAAAATAGATGGAACCGCGTACTGTTGGCTCGTCTAGTATGATTACCAGTAAGGTATTTAAAACACTGGATGTGAGGTTACATGTGATAAAATAGTCTATTGTAACATTATAAAATTTATCTTGTACTCCCTCCTATTCATAATAAGTGTCGTTTTAGGAAGTTGCACACTAATTAAGAATAATTTTTTTTGTCAATAATAACCTCATTAATGAAGACAGAGATGGATGTTTTAAAAAAAAGATGAAGAGAATATGAAAAGACATAGTGTATTTATTAACTAAATGAGGATAATAATGGAAAATATGTACAAAAAATCCAAAACGATATTTATTTTGGTTAATAGTTGATAAAGCTAAAATGACATTTAAAAAGAATAGGAGGTAGTATAAAAGAACATAAAAAATGTGTGTTTAAAATATTAAATGTGAGAGAAGATTTACATATTATATATAAATTAAATCTTGAGATGATACCGAAAATTATTACGTAATCTCTGTGTGAAAATTTGAGTATAAAATAAACGGAGGCTTAACAATTCCACGCTTTATGCATACGCTTCATTTATCAATTTTATATAATAATTTTAAAATCTCGTTATTAAGATTTTTAGTCAAACGCGTATCAACAAAGTCTACATTCTTAGGATTTATGATGAAATATGAATAAATGATTTTTTTATAAAAGAAATCCGTATTTATTTGTTTTTGAAAATCAATGCAAACTCATACAGAGTTTTTATTCTGAACAAACTCCTACCATTCTAATTAAGTTATATTATTCCAGTTTGAACTTCATTATGATTTTAAAATCCGTACACGTGGTTATAATCTATATCAAGTAAACAATCCCCATATTTTTAGAAATCAGTATTTATTTGTTTTTGAAAATCAATGCAAACTGCTTTAATCACTTTTTAATATCAATTTAATTAAATAAAAATGAGGCAAATTTGTACCAAATTTTAAATTCTCGTGCTCTATTACGACAACAATTTTTCAATATCAAATAATTAAATGAAGTTATTTTTTAATAAAATTCATTTAAGTTTTTTTTACTAAAATGAACGATGCATGCTCGTACCAATTTCCAATTCTCTACAATTTGAATAAGGGCTCCTTAACTTTTGAATAATGCTAAATTTCGTGTCTATCATTATGTTTGCGGGCAAATTTGAAATTTGTACGAAAGTTATTAGAAAATTGTTAACATTTGAATTTGAATTAAAGATTTGTATGAAAATTATTAAGAAATTGTTAACAATTGAATTTGAATTAAAGATTTGTTTTTTCTGTTTTTCCTAAGTTTGTTAAGGAAAGCAACCATATTTTATTTAAATTTCTATTCTTTCTTTATTTAGAAATTTTGAAATTAATTTTGCTTGCTATATTTAGTAAATAATTATCCCTCCCTTAATATAATTTGAAAACGTGTTGAGCCTAAATGGCTGGCTCGCACGCTTCGGAAGCTTACTTGGCAACGTTACATGCTTCGGTGTTTGGTTTGGATAAAAATTAATACAATTATATTCCAAAATAAATAGGACTCCAACTCCAAATAATATTCTTATTCTTATCTCCTCCAAATAGGATTCTTATTCTTATCATAATTTATTTATTTTAATTCCTTCAAAAGTTTTTTACATCATCCATACTATCACCCCTGTTTAAATGAAAAAAAATTAATTTACCATACACGGGTTTGAAACATAAATGAAAATATAATTAACATATGATGCAATTAAGATAAATCAAACAAGTACCCAAAAAAAAAAGATAAAATCAAACAGGGTATTTTAATAAAAACTAAAATACATATTATCAATCTCAGCATATGAATGAGTGTAGATACATTACTTTGAAAAGCTTAAACTGGATATATTTAAATCATATATAAAATTCATGGGTATTGATAAAAAATTTATAAAATATTTTCTTTATAAAATATTTAGATAGTTTGCTTAAATTTACACGAGTGTTGAATTAGAAAGCTTTCATAAAAAATGTTAAATTTTTTATTTTTGTAAAAAAACTAAAATAATTTAATTTTATATAAAACATTACTTTGGGTTTTAATTAAATTATCAAATTATATTTTTTAATCATAATAATTAAAAACCCGTAAATTAAATGAAAATATCAACCTGTGTTGAATTTTTTACTTATATCATACACTATTACATAAGTACAAAAATATATATCTTAAATAAATAGAAATAATATGGTGATATGTATATGCATAAGTGTAGAATATGTTTATTTAATATTAAGCAAGATAAATTAATTTTTTTTACTTAATTAGATGTCTAATAATTTATAGTTTTATTTGATATAATTTAATTTAGATTGATAAATAAATTTAAATTTTATTTATAAGAATATATATATTACTGTTTTGTATTATATATATATAATATGGATGTCAAATCGAAAATCGGTAAAATATAGTTAATTTGATATATCATATATGAAAAATAAAATACAAACAAAAAAGTTATAAAATCTTAAAATAAGAAGACGAAACATTTATAAAAACTAATGAAGGAATTATATAAGAAAATGAAATGTGATATATGGTAATGTAGGAAAATTAACCATAAAATAGTTTATGGTAAATAATTGTAGAAGTAAAGAAGAAAAAAATTAACCATTAATTTAGTGTGATAAAACATATTAATTTATATCCTAGCCTAACTCCAAAGCATGATTTTTCGCCAAATAGGATTTCAAAACTTGAGAGTTTGCCACGTAGATGTGTAGGTATTTAACTAATGGATAAAGAAAAGGCAAAACTTATTAGACACATTAGAAGGGCGAAAATGAAAGAAAAACGTGGACTATCTCCTGCAGGAACTGAAAATATTGTTTCAGGTGAGTATATTTTATGGGACTTACTTTTAAATTTTGCATTATATGTAATATATGCAACTTACATAATTATAAATTTATTATTAGATTAAAGGGTATTATTTTATTTATGTAAAATGCAAACAGTATATATTTCTTTGATTTTTTTTATATATTCGATGTCAGACACTCCATCCAGTCAAGCAAGAAAGTTCAGAAAGTCCTTTATAGATGCAAGGTGACAAAACGACATTCAGTGTACACAACAGATTTTTTAAATGCAATAAAATGTTCTGGAGTTCCTAATCACATTTTAAAATTGAAAGTTGGTATTCCTGTAATGCTGCTTCGAAACATGGATCAATCTTCTGGGTTGTGTAATGGCACGAGGTGAGTGATCACTCGACCATTCTTTTATCTTTTTTGGCATTTATACATTCCTAAATCTTAACTAATTTATTATATATCATTATTGTAAAATTTTTACTTTTATATTAGAAAGAAAAACTGCTAACTTTAATAAATAATCATTATTTATTTTATGGGTTATGTAATGACACCAGGTTAGTCATCACTCGACTTGGAGATCGCATTGTTGAGGCTAAGATTCTATCGGGAGGAATATTGGGAGCAAAGTACTTATTCTGCAGATGTTATTGACTCATTCTGATGTGAGATTGCCTTTCAAGTTTCAACGAAGACAATTCCCACTTATGGTTTGTTTTGCAATGACTATTAATAAGAGTCAAGGACAGACATTGTCTAACGTCGGATTGTACTTGCCTAATCCTGTATTCAGCCATGGTCAACTTTATGTTGCATTATCTAGAGTTAAAAGTAGGAGAGACTTGAAAATTCTGTGTTGCGACAAGGATGGAAAAATTGTAAATAAAACTATTAATGTAGTGTACAAATAAATTTTTCAAAATTTGATATAATATCGACTTTGGTATTTTCTATTTTTTTACTTTTATACGACAACATGTGTTTTTTCTATTATTTTATGTTTTATATTTTTTTTAAAACAAGTCGTACTAGTTCTTTTTATATAAATATAGATTTCGAATCTACTTTCTTCAGTCATTACGCCTTTGACATTTGTACAATCTTTTGGATAAGATACACTTCCTACTTCGGTAGGAGTCTTTTCCCTTGCCTGACACGACTCTTTTCCTGAGCCATTATGCCGCCTGTAGCGCCGCGAAGGCCTGGCCGAAGGGTAGTGCAATTCTAAGCAACTATTAAAATGATAATTAAAAAGCAAAGTGTATAGAGGAGAAAAAAAATTAAAATTTAATAGTAGGATTAATGAATTAGGAACGTGTTTGACTTAATTAAAAAAATGAATAAAATAAAAAAATCATTTTTAACCAGATTTTAATATTAAAGTATGACATTTCGTAATTTAAATATTCAATTTTTTGTATAAAACTGTGACAAATGATGTGGTTTTGACCAATTTGTATCCCAACATACTGTCGGAAGTTGTAGGAAATTCTAAAATTTGTAGCTGGATAAGAAAAAACATGCAGTTGGACAAGGAAAGACGGAATTTAACAGTCACATAGTAGGCTTTGTAGCTGCCTAATTAAACAAATTAACCTTCATAAAGTCACACGAATCAAGCAAAATTTCCAACTTCATATTTTCCAGTGTGAATTTCCCAAATTCTTCATTCACTATTCTACGTCTCATTGTATATAATTACACATGCTACATTAAATAGTTAATCTAACAACAAATAATTAGATGTTCTTTTTTTTTTTCCGAAACCACCCCGGAGGGTGGGGGTTAGGCCCAGACCCCCAACCTGTATATATAAAAACCCTAAATGGGCTGAAAGTCACATCTACAAATCCAATATCGGAAATACAACAAGTCAAAAGAAAGCGAAAAACCAAAAACGAAAAAACAACAATACAAAGCTGGCAATAACTGCCAGTAACATAACTATATATCTCCTGGTCCGGGAAGAGTCTAGACAAAAGAGTCAGTATCACGGGAGGACGGGTGCACCAAGAGATAAGATTGGCTACCCAAATCTGAATGAAGGGTATTCCATCTGGTTCATCCGTATAAGGGTGCGGAGTCGAAGATGAATATCGTCAGGATAAAGAATACGTCTCTGAGGGGAGGAGTACTCGATGCCTGCGAGGAAGTCAGCAGGGCGGTTTCCCTCACGGAATATGTGCGAGATCTGAAAGCGAATCGACCGAAGTGTGGCTCTGATACGCATGAGCGGATGCTGAATCTGCCATGTGCCCAACAACAAATTAGAAGTTAACAAAAAGTTACTGCACATTGAATCTACTCTATGCTACCCATTTAATCAAAACACTAGTTCGTTGTTGTGGGAGTGTTGTAATCAAACGAATCAAACGTGCTCAGTATTTTGAACTCGTGTTTAATTATGTTCAAACAGTATTTGTGCCCTACACTATTATTTGAGCAAAATTTCATGTTCGAGTTTGTTCTTTTAATTGTTCGTCAAAGTTTGAATTCGCTCATGTTCAAATAATTTATTTAACAATATTATTGAAATTGCATGATTAACTCGGTATCAATTTCTTTAAAATTGTTCGACCTCGAGAAAAAGTAATAAAAAATTATACTTTAGGGTTTTTAATTGGAGAATTATACATCTGAATATAAAAATAATTTCTTCAGTAAATTAATATTCGTGAACAGAATTGTGTTAGTTCAACTAACATACAAGTCTAAATTTTTACTTAAGCCCAATTCAATTTATAAACAAACTAAGTTTTTGTTTGCAGACGTTCGGTTCGTTTACAATTCTAGTTCTCCAAATAGATTGATTAATATGTATTCACAATTAAAACTGCATTGACGTGTAAAAATCTTATTTATAATTAGCCGATCTAGGTTATATCACTCCAATTTTGTGCGGATTTTCATCTCACTTATTAGTACTTATATTTATAATTAGTTCCTTCAATTACCACAAGCGGCTTAATTAGTTTCAATCAACTCAAGTAAAATTCGAATTAAATAATAACAATTAGTTTGTTTGGCTATCTTGTCATTGTAAATTTGTAATGTAGCATGCGTCAAGACATTGGACCAACTATGACTGAATGAATCAACAGATAAGAATAATTGTGTAGAGTTAAAGAGTGGAACCTCAGTATGTATAGAACTCATTTCTGTTGCTGTTATTGGTGACAACTGCTCGGCCTCTGTTCCTGTGACCATTGCTTGAAGTATTCCACTGTCATCTTTAATGGATATAATAAAACGACACCTGTAGAATTTAAAAAATGTTTTATCTATATAATGAATCTTAGAAAGTGATAAAGTTGTTTATATATATTGTAATTAATCTAACCTGGCGACGACTGTACTATCCTGTGTGCACATTGTACAGTTAATATTCCAATTCACTGGAGCGTCAATCTCCTTTTGACATTTGTTGCATGCAGTAAACCAAAGAGATTTTTGACCCATGACAAGAGAAGGAACCCCACGAATCCATGCAGTTTTAATCTGAAGATTAAATGTTGTAATGAAAAACTATTTTTTTTATATTCAATGTAATGTATGGATTGAGGAATAAATGTATTGTGGTGGAGAATACTAACATGTACTTTTATTCTTAATTTGATTACTAAAATTATTAACTCTTCATTTATAGCTAATGTGATGTAGAAGTTGAATAAGAAATAAAAAATTAAAGGTCCTAAACATGATAGCAAGATTGGTCGACTTGTCACAAGCCAATTTTATAAATTTACTCATGCCAACGTAAGTATACTCCCGATCGCAAACTACTAAGATTTTCAATATAACTAAGTGAACAAGTCATCCCAAAACATAATCAAATAAGATAAATGACAAAATGAAAGTTTCTCCCTCTTTATTCATTTTTTTTTTCTTTTCTCTTATTTTTTTGGTGAGCCACTTTTCCAAACGAGGATTTCAGATTATTATTATCTAAGTTTAACCTCGACGGATCACTTTAAGTCTCCTAGACCAATTTTCCGTACTCGTTATCTCATTCCACAATGTGAATTGGGATAATAAAAAAAGAGACTCATGGGAGATTTGAGAGTTCAAAAAGTGAGGATGAGAGCTGAAGAAATCGAGCAAAAAAAGATCGAGCATGAAGATATTCCTAAGAGTTTGCAAGAAAACAATAAAAAAAGTTCCACAATTTTAGAGAGATTGAGAGACGATTAAATTTGAAGAATTTTCGTAAGATATCGTGTATGGTGACTTGCAAGGCGTGTGAATTCAGTTTTCAAAGATGAACGAGAAGTTTTGAAAACTCTCAATTTCTGATCAGCATACATACCATTTGTAGTTATGTATATATTTTAGCTTCACGAGTTCTGGCCGTAGGGCATAATTGCATCAAAAACCGTTTGGTAGAAGCAGTGCAATTTAATTCAATATCATTTATAAAAAATTAAATGATATAATAATAATATTTGACAAAATTAGTTCAAAAAATTGAATGGCATTTCTAAAACACTTTCAATATAAGCATTCAACATAAGCTCTCGAGCTTGTTTTAAAAATCATCTAGCCAAACCGTGGTTATTGCATGATGCCATTGGCGTCGCTCATCCACGGAATATTGTTACTGGGCGAATGTACATGTATGAAGAAAACGTAAGTGTTGTTAGTTTTTTTTTTTTTTTTTGGTTAAAAATGAAACGAAAATGGAAGTAATCACACTTTCTCATTATTGTACAGAATTTATCGTCACTAATTAAACTCAACAATGAATTAAAGTGTTTTGTTCTGTATGTTATTTCTTCAAATTGTTTGATTCTCTATGTTAAATTTGGTTTCCACTATTTGATAGGCAATGTTCAAGGGAGAAAGAAAAGGGTCCTAACTGACGCTGAACGGTGGGCCGTTTACCATGCTTTGTTGGAAAAAAGCGTAAATGGTAAATTGAAAAAGAATACAACAAAAGAAGTGAAAGATATGTTCAATATTGGGGATGTGCGAACAGTTCAAAGAATATGAAAAATTCACAAGAGAACTCCACCAGACTCAGATGTGGATGTGTCATCGAGAAAGGCACAAAACTGTGGTCGTAAACGAATTGAGGTGGATTTAAATAGAATTCAACAGATAGAGTGGCATCAACGAACAACACTTACATCTCTTTCTAATGCTTTAGGAGTGAGTTGTTCCAAATTGTATAGCCTTTTTAAGCGAGGCGTTCTACATCGTCACTCAAGTGCCATCAAACCACATTTGAAAGACGAAAACAAAACATCACGACTAGAGTTCTGTTTATTGATGCTTGATGAAAGCACAACGTCGAACGAGCCAAAGTTTAAAGAAATGTATAGCTATGTGCACATCGACGAAAAATGGTTTTACATGACAAAGAAGGAGCAAACGTACTACATGCTCGACAATGAAGAAGATCCTCACTGTTCATGCCAAAGTAAAAATAACATTGCAAAAGTCATGTTTCTAGCAGCAACGGCTCGTCCTAGATTTGATGGTGAAGGAAGGGTTGTATTTTCGGGCAAAGTTGGATGTTGGGCATTTGTGACAGAGCAACCAGCCCAAAGAAATAGCAGGAACAGACAAGCTGGCACGATGGAGATGAAGGCGATCACATATGTTAAAAGAGAGAATGTGAAAGCGTTTTTGATTGAAAAGCTTATCCCAACTATTATTGAGAAATGGCCTAGCTCCGGAGAAATTATTTATGTCCAACAAGACAATGCTAGGACACACGTCCTTCCTAATGACCCTGATTTTGTAGCAGCCGCTTCACAAAATGGCTTTGACATTCGATTAATTTGCCAACCCCCTAATTCTCCAGATTTGAATATACTCGACCTTGGGTATTTTAGGGCTATACAGTCGCTACAACAAAAAATGTGCACAAGGTATATCCATGAGCTTGTAAGTGCGGTAGATAATGCATTCTCCGACTATTCACCCATCAAGCTCAATTGTGTGTGGCTGACCTTGCAATTATGTATGAAAGAGATCATGAAACTAGGAGGAGGAAAACGATATAAAATCTCTCACATAAACAAAAAACGGCTTCAAAGACTAGGTGAACTTTCTACACAAATTTCATGTGAGTCTACCTTAGTGCAAGCGACTAGAGAATTGTTGGCAGCACGACAAGTTAAATCAATGTTAACATTTGCTTCTCGTCTTCATATATTCACTATTATTGATAATATTTTAATTTTCTTGTAGGGAACGTTTCAATTGGAGGTGGATTGGAAGAGCTTTAGTTGAAATTGGTGATGCTTGTTGTTATTGTCAATAGTTGTTTTTGTAGACTGTTCTGTTTTGTGAAATCTGCTTCAAAGATGTGTGTTTTCTATGTGAAAACTTTAGGGAATGTTTGTGAACTTCCTACACAAATTGGTGATGCCTGTTGTTATTGTCAGTAGTTGTTTTAATTTTCTTGTCTTGCTTCTGTTTATGTCAAAATGTGTGTTTTCTGTAGACTGTTCTGTTTTAATTTGCTTGTCTNCACAAATACTTGTTCATTGAAGATTTTTGGGACAATAAATAATTTGGTATACAGGATCAGCATCACTTAATAAAAGTGGATCATGGTACAAAAAATACAAATAGCGACCTTTCACAATTAACCTTCTACCAAACGTAAAATCTTTTCAACCACAGAGATGGCTTTATTCAGTCAACAAGATGCATGAAATTACGAAAATGAGCAGCAGTCGTCATCTGGAACCTTGAAAATGTCGACGGTTGCTTGAAAATGGGCGCCAGAAGTTTTGTTGAAAACTTTTCGAAAAAGTCAGCGGTGGCTGGAAAATATCGTTGTCGGTAGTCGGTGGTGTCGGGGTTCGATGGTTCGCCCGGTGGCACGGTGAGGTTCGTTGGTGGCTCGGGGTTGGTCTAGGTGCGGTGCACGTGGCTCGCCGCGTGCGGGGCATTGAGAAATTGATTGGTAATAGAGTAATCTGGAACCTTGGGTTTTCTCTCAAAGAAGGCTATCCGAAGCTTCGTTTACTAACTAGTCGTCAAAACACAAAAAAAGAAAATTAAAGGTCCTAAACATGATAACAAGATTGGTTGGGTTGATTTTAAATTAATTTTACCTAACAAATTAAGAGCAATTACCTAAAGATGCAAACTTTAACCAAAGATTGGAACTTTATCAAACCCGAAATGTTCAACACTCGAAGAAAAGATAAAAACAAAGAGAAACGAGCTAAACCTAACACAACTAGAAACTAAAGTCAAACATTCAATTACGAAATAACTAACCTTCAACAAAGTCTCATATTTTACCTTGAGAGATTTGACCTTTAAGAGACTAATCCTGCTAGATAAGCAAAACAAAAGAAAAGACTAACGAAAACTGAGTCTTTCCACATAAATTCCGACCAAGACGTCATTTTTACCACAAACCACATAGTAATGCAAAATAGAGCAACTTCGAAATAATAAGTCCTGAACTAGGTACTTACTTTTCTATTGCTTGCCAAAGCTCGAAACCTTAATGAAAACATCATGGCATTCAAGTCTTGAATCTCCAAACATAAACTAGAGAGAGAAAAGAGAGAAAAGAGAGAAAACAAGCTAATTCCCAAACTAGAAAGTTGGGAAATGAACATTTGGTTCCAAATATACAAAGGACTTAGTCTATTTATAGCCACACCACAAATACACACATTTACTAAACAACAATCGCAATCTAGCTAAAACGTTCGTTTGTTTGCGAGTTAGTAGGCAAGGTCACGCACAACACTCACGTGGTCGTTGGTTGGGGTGCTGGCTTGTGGGTGATGGGCCTCGGTGACGGGCGTGCGTTGGGTGAAGTTTCTCTCGGCGAAGCTAGCGCGATTGACAGTTTTAAATATGGTTTGTTGAGAAAAACTTCATAGTGTACTAGAAAAAATGCTCAGATCGCGAGTTATGTGAGGGAGCTCTAGATGGCACTAGCAGGCGAGAGGCGGGGTGACGCACATGAAGTCTCGACGACGCTGTGGCACTAACCCATGAGCTGACAATGCTGTGTACGGGAAGGCGTGCAGCGATAGTGCGAGCGACTGCGGGACTTCCTCGGCAGCTCATGGGCGATGTGTACAGGTGTCGCGCGGGCGTGCAGGACTTATTCGACACTGTGGCATACTCGTTTATCCAAAGTATGCCAAACTCATTTTACCCCGTGATTCTTATATTCAACATTCGACTAAAAAATGTGTTCCCCAACAATCTACAATCCTACAAAATAACATTCGTCCAGTGCTTTTCAACAGATGGTCGACTTGTCACAAGCCAATTTTATAAATTTACTCATTGCCAACGTAAATATACTCCCGATAGCAAAATACTAAGATTTTCAATATAACTAAGTGAATACAGGCCATCTCAAAACATAATCAAATAAGATAAATGACAAAAGGAAAGTTTCTCCCTCTTTATTCATTTTTCTTCTTCTTTTCTCTCATTTTTTTGGTTAGCCACTTATCCAAACGAGGATTTCAGATGATTATTATCTAGGTTTAACCTCAATGGATCACATCAAGTCTTCTAAACAAGTTTCCCGTACTTGTTGTCCCATTCCACAATGTGAATCGGGACAAGAGGATCCTAATCCGTACTTTCATAAATTACAAAATGAAAGTTTCTCCTTCTTATTCATTTTTCTTCTTCTCTTCTCTTATTTTTGTAGTGAGCCACTTTTCCAAACGAGGATTTCAGATGATTATTATCTAAGTTTAACCTCAACGGATCACCTCAAGTCTCCTAGACCAGTTTCCCGTACTCGCTATCCAGTTCCACAATGTGAATCAGGATAAGAGGATCCTAATCTGTACTTTCCTCGTGAACTCGCCTTTTATTCCCCTTTTTTTTCGTTCTTTTTATTTTTATTTAGAGAGAAAAGAATTCATCAAAACATCGTGAATTCCAACAATATATAATCAAACCAACACGTCACAACGTACATCTAACAAGAATAAACTACGGACATGAGGTTTTACATATGAATCCTCCAATAAGGCAAATTCAAAGTATTGACCAAACAAGAATTAAAATGGACAAAACAAGGACATAACCCTAAAGTATGTATACCACATTAACAAGTCTTTAATTAACTTAGAATCACCGGGGTTCAACTCATTGAAAAACATAAACTAAGACAATTTAAAAAGAAATAAACACGTTTCTCTAATAAAAAGTTAGCGATATCGACCAAGCATTAAACTTTAAGCAGGAGAATCAACACAAATACAAAAATTCTAAAACCTAAACCAGCCCATCAAGTAAGACACACATAAAAACAAAAATTAAAACCAAAAATTGATAAGTAGGACTAAATATATATTTAATATTATATTAGATAACTAATATATATTAAATATATTAGATAACTAATATATATATATATATATATATATATATATATATATATAAAATAGTGGGCCCTAAGTTAAGTTGGGGCTCTGTGCGGTCGCCCAGTCCACCCTATCCCAGGGTCGACCCATGTAATTATCTTTCGTTGGCTTGTAGGAAAACAAATGATATTGAATTATAAAAAATTAAGAACATTTAATTAGCAGAACTAGAGATTGGTTATATATTCTCTTTCCTCAGTATTGATATTCTCTTATTATACTTTATATTTTATGAATTTAATTGTTTTTCTCTTACTTGTAGGAAAAGGAAGAGCAATAAGATAATCAAAAAACGAGATTCATGGGAGATTTGAGAGTTCAAAAGGTGAGGATGAGAGCTGAAGAAATCGAGCAAAAAAAGATCGAGCATGAAGATATTCTCAAGAGTTTGCAAGAGAATAATAAAAGAAAGTTCCACAATATTAGAGAGATTGAGAGACGATTAAATTTGAAGGATTTTCGCAAGATATCGTGTATGGTGACTTGGAAGGCGTGTGAATTCAGTTTTCAAAAATGAACGAGAAGATTTGAAAACTCTCAATTTCTGATCAGCATACATACCATTTGTAGTTATGTATATATTCTAGTTTCACGAGTTCTGGTCATAGGGCATAATTGCATCAGACACCGTTTGGTAGAAGCAGTGCAATTTAATTCAATATCATTTATTAAAAAGTAAATGATATAATAATAGTATTTGATAAAATTAGTTCAAAAAATTGAATGGCATTTCTAAAACACTTTCAATATAAGCATTCAACACAAGCTCTCGAGCTTTTTTTTAAAAATCATCTAGCCAAACCGTGGTTATTGCATGATGTCATTGGCGTCCCTCATCCACGGAATATTGTTACTATCTAGAGGCCTAGGCTTCGGTCGTCTTCTTTTCGTACCAAAAAATAAATAAATAAATAAATAAAGCTTATGACGCTTATCAAATATGTGATTTATCATAAGGTCCTAGTTTAATTAACATTTATGCCATTTTACAATAATATTTATGATATTTTTTTAAAAAAAAAAAATCTAATGATATTAAATAGTATTCAGAAGGAATTGCGAATTTGCGATAAAAGGCGTGAAGGGAGTGGGTGGATTGGAGAAACTTTAGTCAAAATAAAAAGTAATAATAGGCTTCATAGCTGCCTAATTAAAGCTACAAGTAAATTAACCCAAATCAAGTAATTTTTTCCAACCTCATAATTTCACAGTTGAGCATATTTCCAAATTTTATCAAATTTCCAACCTCATTATTTCAAGTGTGAAATTCTAAATTTATTAATTCGAGGTCTTTATTTATGGCGATGACTTTTATATACATTTTCCTATGTCTCATTATACATTCTTAGAAATTAAAATGTATGGATATTTCAAAAATGAAATTATTGTAACTGTGACAATAAATTTTTGTACAACTTAATGTTATTTGGAAGAAACAATATTGTAGGTACAATTCTATATGGAACATTTTGATTCTTCTTTTGGTGGACTTATATTTGATCTTCAAATTTGGATTTAATAATTGGATCTCATTGAAGGTTTGGAGGCTCGAAGAGTTGATTTTGGATTGGATATCGATCTTCAACTTGAATGTTCTTGGATCTTCAAGAACGCCTTCAAATCTTCAAGAACGTCATTGGATCTTCACGAAAGTTGTTGAATTTGAGACTTTAATTCATAAAGTACTATTTTTGGTCATATTGTAAATTAATAGAAATAGTTTGGTTGCCTATTTTGTCATATTGTAAAAATGTAATGTAGCATGCGGAAGATATTGGACCAAATGGTAGCCGAAAGCATGACTAAATGCTCATGATCATGATCGTCCCCTATAACTCTATAAATAGCACCCCCATCGCCTCGCTCTCCTCACTCAACACAATCCAACACAATCATCAATAGCACAACAACCAAACAAATTATTACTGACCAAATAATGAAGTTCCCTTATCTGATGATAACTCTAATCTTCACCTTGGCCGCAGTCCTCATTACTCGGCCCGCAGCCTCTTGCCCTTCGGGAGGAGGCGGCCAGCCCCCTGCCCCGTCCTCTTTCGACCTGAACGGATTCCAGAAGTGCCTCCTCAGCCATTCCGGCGGGCATAAACCCGGCTTCACCCTCCCTTCCGACCCGTCTTTCATTTCCCTCCTCGACTCCACCATCGAGAACACCAAGGGCCTTCTCCCCAACGTCCCCAAGCCCGCCGCCATCATCACCCCTTACACCGAGACCGACGCCGCAAAGGCCGTCCACTGCGCCTCTACACACGGAGTCTCCCTCCGCGTCCGCAGCGGTGGCCACGACTACGAGGACCTCTCCTACACCTCCTTCATGGGCCTCCCCTTCGCCGTCCTCGACCTCCAGAATCTACGTAATGTCACCGTCGACGTGGCCTCGCAGACCGCGTGGGTCCAGGCGGGGGCCACCGTCGGCGAGCTCTACTACCACGCGGCCACCGAAAGCGGCGGGACCCTCGGCTTCCCCGCCGGCATCTGCACCACCATCGGAGTCGCCGGAAACTTCCTCGGCGGCGGCTACGGGATGATGATGCGTGCGTACGGCCTCGCGGCCAACAACGTGCTCGACGCCCGGCTTGTCACGGCCGACGGCAATCTCCTCTCCCGCAAGTCGATGGGCGAGGACGTCTTCTGGGCCCTCCGCGGCGGGGGCGGGGGAAGCTTCGGGGTCGTGCTCGCTTGGAAGGTACAACTCGTCGAAGTGCCCCCGAAGGTCACCGTGTTCAGCGCCATCAAGATTCTCGACAATTCAGGGGGAAGCAAAGGGTTCGACGTCGGCGCGCTGTACAAGTGGCAGAAAGTCGCCCCGGTTGTCAACGACACGAAACTCTTCATGAGGGTCATAATGCAGCCGGCCGGGCCGACTTCGGTGGTGACGATCTACAGCGCCATGTACCTCGGGAATAAGGCCGACGCGGCCCGGCTGATGAGGAATAAATTCCGCGAGCTGGGGTTGAGGGACGCGGACTACACGGAGATGAGCTGGATCGAGTCCGTGTTGGCGATCGGTGGATTCAACGTGAGCACGACGAAGCCCGATTACCTGCTCAAGAGGATTGGCGCGTGGCAGCTCAGTTTCAAGGCAAAGTCGGATATGGTGCTGGCCCCCATCCCGAAACCAGGGCTGAGGAAGCTGTGCCAAGCCGTGACGCAGCAAAGCATGTCGATGGTGATTCTGACGCCTTACGGGGGAAAAATGAAGGAGATTGCCGATGACGCGACTCCTTTTCCGCACTGCGACGCGCTGTTCATGGCGCAGTACGTGGGGCAGTGGGCAACGGAAGGCCAGACCCTCCAGATGGAGGCCCAGAACAAAAAATGGGTGAGCGGGGTTTATGACATGATGGCCCCTTACGTGTCGAGTAATCCGAGAAGGGCGTACGTGAACTACAGGGATCTCGATCTGGGGAAGGATGACAACAGCTGCCCCAACTGCAGCTGCCCCAACATTTGGGGATACAAGTACTTCAACAACAACTTCATGAGGCTCGTGGACGTGAAAACGAAGGTCGATCCCAAGAATTTCTTCTTTCATGAACAGAGCATCCCCACTCATTCGACGCTCAACAACTGCATTAACTTGGTGTCGTAAGCTGCTTTACCTACCGTGCCATTGGACTTCAGGGCCTCATACTTTGTGTGGCGATTTTATGTTTGGACGTTTTAAATTTTTCTACCGACTGTTTTGTTTTTTTTCTTTCATTTTCAAGTATACGGTGTCAACTTAATATTAATATAATAAATTAATAATAATAAGAATAAGAATAAGAACTCTGGTTTTATATATATATATATATATATATATCGTGTGCATTAATTTTTAGCCAAAATGGTTCCTCTGTATATATATCAGCAGACGAATGCACTGCACTCCTCCTTCGCGAATCAAACATCTCACAATTTTCGGGCTGCCAATTGCCCATGAGAAGAATCGTTTGAATTATATGACTCGGAGCTCAGGTAGAAATCGGTTAATTAGTTTGTAATTGTTGGTATTCGGTTCAAGCGAGGGTTATATTTACGGCTCGGCTCTAAGGAGCGTTTGACATACAACTAGACATGGCCAAATTCCGGGCCGGCCCAACGAGGGTTACATTCTGGTATTTATATTGACTTCCATATACTTATGTGAACTTACATTATCAAATTTTGAGTATAAACGCAATTATTATATTTCTCGAAATTTCACCGTTCCCTTTCCTGAGTATAAGCATTTGAATTTGACCACATGGTAATAGATAATAAACATTCCAAAAATGGAAATGACAAAAGGAGCTTAATACAATAGTCAACAAAAGAATATTATACCTAATATTTATACGATAATATTTCTGTATACAGTGACCGTAAGATAATTTATCCAACATAATAATATAATCGGTGTAATAAAATTATACCTCTGATCATTGCTTGTGTCTGTTTTGCAATGTATAAAGAATTTGTTTAAAACAATTACAAGAGGTTTTCTTTGTCTCAAATAGTGTAAAAAGTAGTAAAAAATCTAAGTGATGAGTCTAAAGACTTTTTAACACTGATGGTAAGCGGTGCGATTTAATTCAATGGCAATTCTAAAACAAATAGATGATATACTAATAATATTTGACAAAATTACCTCAAAACTTTGAATGGCATTCCTAAAACACTTTCAATATAAGCATTCAACATAAACTCAAGCTTGTTTTAAAAAGCATCTAGCCAAACNAAACTTTAAGTCATCGAATAATATATATTAGCTTTTCATGCTTATCAAATGAGGTCCTCGTTTAATTAACATTTATGCCCATTTTATAAGAATATTTATGATATTCTTTTTTCAAATTTAATGAAACGTGATGATGTTAATCACGCTAATTTTGACACGATCCCACATTTAGACCAGGCATGTTATTAAATAGTATTCAGTCGGAAGTGCAAGAAAAGGCGTGCATTAGTTTAGGTGAAACTTATTAATATTGAAACTTCAATCAAATAATAGGTTTCGTAGCGGCCAAATTAAGGCTACAAGTAATTAAATTAACACGAATCAAACAATTTTTTCCAACCTCATAATTTCAAGTGTGAGCATTTTCCAAATTTTATCAAATTTCCAACTTTCATGATTTCAAGTGTGAAAACCTAAATTATTATTTCGAGGTCTTCATTCAAGACGAAGACTTTAATTTATATATTGTTGAATTCTACGTATACAAAGTTTTATACAAGTAGCACATAGCTTATGGGACTTGTTTATATGAATCAATTTATTGAAAAAACCTTTATGTTTGGACTTATGAATAAATTGATTACTCAAATAAGTGATTTAGAACATTAAAATGTCACTTTGCAAACATGCATATATATAAAATGGCCTTTTTTTTTTT